TAAAAGATCGTCTATCCTGGGCAGCGGCTCAACATTCTTCACGGTGATCACATTCAAACCCCTATAGTCTATACACATTCTCAACTCTCCTTCCTTCTTGGGGACAAACAAAACGGGTGCTCCAAAAGGAGACGAACTGGGCCTGATCCAACCTTTCTCAAGGAGTTCGTCTAATTGTTTGCGAAGCTCCTCTAACTCTCTAGGGGACATCCTGTAGACTGCACCCTTAGGAGTTCTACTGCCAGGCTCTATCTCTATCTTGTGCTGAATGGGTCGCAACACTACTCCTGTCGGCGACTCAATCAAGTCTTTAAATTCTTCCAGTAGCTTGGCAATTGTTGGATCTGTGGAGCTATCCTTTTCCTGGGCCTCAGTGACAGGTCTAACATAAGCTACAAAGACTTGGTCTTCTAACTGCTCCTTTTTGACTAATCGCGCGAACGAGGGAGCACTGAGGCAACAATGTGCCAAGGTGTTGTCTACACCCGACACATGGAACAAGCGGGCAGTCTTAACTTCGCCTGCCGGACTAGGGAGCCTACACTCATGCTCTCTCAAATGAAGTGTGGCCCCTGCTGCCTCTCCCCAATCCATTCCCAACACTATATCAAAAGGAAGGTCATCTTGTACGAGGAGAGTCAGGGAATGGAGAACTTTCTCCACCTTCCCATCCTTCTCTAGGCGAAAGTACGCCTGGACTCCCTCTACGTAGTCCTCAACTCGCATCGTGCGGTTGTCTGCGAGGACACTGACTATGGGGTCTATTAACTTCTGGACTTTTAGTCCTAACCTCAGCTTCTTCAACTACTTTTCAGCGCCCTACGGCTAATGTAACTACGGGTAGCCCCTGAGTCTATAAGGGCCCCTACTCTACTTCTTAACACCTCTACGTCTACCAAAATCAGTTGTCCCTTACTCTCTCTTTTCATTTTGGCCTAGGCTGGCATTCTCTCTTTTAAGTCTTCTGCCACACCTGTGAGGGACGTGCCTAAAGAGACGCTAACACAAGCAGTCTCTGGACAGCTACCTAGGCACGGGCCTGCAACCTCTGCCATAGGCTCATGTGGGTTGGGAGTGTCCTGTTCGCGCGCGCTCACTTCTCCACATGGCCTGGAAGTAGGGGCAGTTGCAACCCCTACTGGCGGCTGCCTTTTGACTGTTGGGCAGCCCAACAGGCCTATCTATACTTTGGACAAAATTTAATTACGTGCGCCGGGTCACCACAGAATACGCACTGACCCAGGTTCACGCGCTCCTGCCAAAATCGCTGGTCCAAGCCCAAGTCTTCCCAGGGTCTGCCCTACGGCAAGCCTGGGTGCCATCCTCCTTGAGATGCCCTTCCACCTCCTCGCTGTGGGGACCGGTTACCCTGACAATTTAACGGGGGACCTTGACCCCTACCTCCCGCTTGGCGGTTTCCCTGTCGGCCAACCCCCTGTGCGCCCGGTCCTCGGCCTCCCATGGCCTGGCCCCTTTAGCCCTGGCCTCCTACTCTACCTTGCGGCCTCCCTCCGGCCGCGACAGCAGCGTAAGACCTCCCCTGCCCTACACTATTGTACTCCTCCCCTAGGCCCCACTCAATCTGATCATATGGGACCTCTTCTGTACCACCCTCCTCTAATATCAGGATCAAGTGATACTTGGCCTTGACTTGGCCCGAGATGGTACGGTCTTTCCACTTCTTCCCCTCCTCCAGGTCCTTATGCCAGAAAGTGGTAACTGGCATAGACTTCGACTCTTACAGGACGACTTCTCTACTCAAT